CAAAGACCTTAACAGACACCTCACCAAAGAAGACATACAGATGGTAAATGTATGTATGAAAAGATGCTCCACATCATATGTCATCAAGGAAATACAAATTAAAACAACAATAAGATACCCCTACACACCTATTAGAATGTTCAAAATCCAGAACACTGACAACACCAAATACTCGTGAGGGTATGGAACAACAGGAATTCTCAAATGTTGCTGGTGGCTATGCAAAATGGTACAGTCACTTTGGAATACAGTTTAGCAGTTTCTTGTAAAACTAAACATATTCTTATCATATAACCTGCAATTGTGCACTTTGGTATTTATCCACAGGAGTTGAACTGGCCCATAGATATTTACAGCAGTTTTATTCATAATTGCCCAAAATTGGAAATAACCAATGTCCTTGAGTAGGTAAATGGATAAACTGTGGTACATCCAGACAATAGAATATCATTTAGTACTAAAAGAAATGAGCTGTCATGAAATGAAAAGACATAGAGGAAACTTAAATGCATTTTACTAAGTGAAAGAAGCCAATCTGTAAAGGCTACATATGGTATGATTGCAACTATATGACATTCTGGAAAAGGTAAAACTATAAAGACAATAAAAAACGCCAATAGCTGCCATGGGTTAAGGAGGGAGAGATGTATACGTATATCACAGAAGACTTTTAGGGCTGTGAAAATACTCTATGATATTATAACGATAGAGAAATGTCATTATACATTTGTCCAAACCATAGAATGTACAACACCAAGCATGAACCTGAAGTTAAAGTATGGATTTGGGGAGATTGTGATGTGCCAGGTAGGTTCATCATTGGTTTAAGAAAAAAAGTAACATTCTGGGGGCACCTGGATGGCTTAGTTGGTTAAGTGTATGACTTTGGCTCAGGTCATGATCTCACGGTTCGTGAGTTTGAGCCCTGCATGGGGCTCTGTGCTGACAGCTCAGAGTCTGGAGCCTGCTTCAGATTCTGTCTTCCTCACTTTCTCTGCCCTTCCCCAACTCATGCTTTGTCTGTCTCTCAAAAATAAATAAACATTTAAAAACAAATGAAAAAAATAAGTACCATTCTGGTGAGTGAAGTTGATATCTGGGAGACTATGCATGTGTGAGGGCAGAGAGTATATGGGAAATCTGTACCTTCCTTTCAATTTTATTATAAACCAAAAACTACTCTAAAATTGTCCTTCTGTAAAATCCATAATCTTACCTAAATTAATTCACCTTTGAGATGTATCTAATCATTGAAAACTTCATACAAAATTTCCTTTCAACAACATTGTTTTCCTTCAAAGTACGATATACATATATATCTTCCTCTCTTTTTTTAATGTTTGTGTATTTATTTTGAGAGAGAGTCAATTTATTTATTTTGAGAGAGAGTCTGTGCTGTCAGCACAGAACCCAACACAGGGCTCAATTCCCTGAGCCACGAGATCATGACCTGAGCCAAAATTAAGAGTCCAACGCTTAAATGACTGAGCCATCCAGGTGCCCCTCTTCCCCAATTTTTAATACTTCATGGTAGGAAAGATACTTTGGCATCAAGATTAAATCTGAATGGCTGTGGATTCTGATCTGATTCCTCCACTATTTTGCTAGTTTCCTTTACTACAATAGCCTCACCTTTTCATGTCTAACATGAAAGCCAGAGAAACCTGATTAAATAGATGAGGACTATTCCACAGTTGTATGCAAATACTGTATTTAAAGAATTATCTCCTGGAAGAGGAATTACTTGTTTGGTATGACCCCAAGAACTCAAACTGGGACTGGTTTGGTAGGAGCTACAGAAAAATACTTTACAGTAAGGGAAATGTTAGAACTGCATCAGTGGAGTTTATGTTGACTTAGTCAATAATGAGCTCCCCAGCATGGTAGGTGTTCAAGAACAGGCTAAATGTTTATTAGGGGGAATTCAAGCCTCTGTTTTCAACCAAGGTGAAGATGAAGTAATCTATGTGGGATAAAACTTCACAATATTACTAAAAGTTTGCAACAAAAATGAGCCCCCAAATAATTCTGCTGGATTTAAAAAACTTAATTGAGCAATAAATATGTGTAGACTATCATTTGTCAATGTCAGAATAGATAGGTTTTTTATTTTATTTTATTTTATTTTTTTAATTTTTTTTCAACGTTTATTTATTTTTGGGACAGAGAGAGACAGAGCATGAACGGGGGAGGGGCAGAGAGAGAGGGAGACACAGAATCGGAAACAGGCTCCAGGCTCTGAGCCATCAGCCCAGAGCCCGACGCGGGGCTCGAACTCACGGACCGCGAGATCGTGACCTGGCTGAAGTCGGACGCTTAACCGACTGCGCCACCCAGGCGCCCCTAGATAGGTTTTTTATTCCTGCAGGCTGGAACCCAACTTCTTGGACAATGTTGTTGTTAGAATATGCAAATCAAGAACCAGTAAACTCGATGATGATATTTGTCCTAGAAATTCACTTGAGTTTAACCACCTTAAAGAGCAGTTTTTCTCTGCTGAATGTACCAAAAACAAAAAATTACTTTTAATACTTAAAATTGCGGATTCTGGCTCTTAACTAACACCTCTCCCAGTCCCCAGCATTTCTTATTTAATGTTTCTTTGTGGAACCCAGGCATTTGATTTTAAACAATTATTCTATGGGATTTTTATTATCAGTAGTCATAAAATTACACTGAGAAACACAAAGAAAAGAGTAGAAAAGATCAACTACCAATCTTTCTATCCAAGTGTTTATGAGAATGCTACAGAACTTCATGTTCAGATGAATTCCATCTTTAAAAGAAACAAATACTGACACATTTTGCTTTTTTTCTATCTCAGGGCAAAGAGCCAAAATGAAATTGATAGTTCTTGCTGTCACTGTTGGCCTAACTTTGCTGCTAGGAGTCCAAGCCATGCCTGCAAATCGCCTTTCTTGCTACAGAAAGATACTCAAAGATCGCAACTGTCACAACCTTCCAGAGGGAGTAGCTGACCTGACAAAGATGGATGTAAATGTCCAGGATCATTTCTGGGATGGGAAGGGATGTGAGATGATCTGTTACTGCAACTTCAGCGAATTGCTCTGCTGCCCAAAGTAAGGAAATGTAATTGCAAAGTATATAGCTATGAAATGTATGCACAACAACTCTTTTTTTAAGACAAACTTTATAATGTGTTTGCTGAAATTAATCACCCTTCTTTAGTAAAATCCTAATTAAATCTCAGGTTTTTTCTAGAATCATCACCATTGTATACGGAACTGAATGTTTTCATTTACAAAAACAGAGTTTGGCAGATTTTAATAAAACTAAATGAAATCCAGAAAATAACACTCCAATACATTAAATTCTAAATTCCCTGACTTTACCATACACACACAAAAAGAAATGCCAGCAGAGGTCAACTTCAAGGTTGATATCTTAAATCAATGTGAACTAATAAAAGGCTTTAGATAAAAGATCCTACTGAACAGGACCAATTAATTGGGCAGAAAAGTGGTAATGGTCAAAGAAAAAGCTTCTAGCTCTATATATAAGTTAACTAGAAATGAACTAAATAAAAACTAGCTACTGATTTGGAAAGTAGGCACATTTTAAGTATAATACAATGGTAGATAAATCAGTAACTTTTTTTTGGTTCTTGTTCTTAAAATCGTCTTCCTCTTGGTTACTAAAGAGTCTCAAATCTATGATCTTGGCTATTTCATACTGAAATTAGCTCTTTCAAATTACTTACAACATATGTCATCATATTTTCATTTTTCTAAAAAAAACCTGTGACGTAGAAAGGGCAGATATAATCATCCTATCAAGAAAAGGTGCACAGAGGTAAAATGACCAGCACTATCCCACACAACTGGTTAATACCAGTACTGACATTAAAATCCAGGTCTTCTGATTTGGACCAGATATTTTTTTTAACAAGGCAGTTGGTTCTTAATGTGTGGTTCCCAGAACAGCAGCTTCAATGTCACCTAGTTCTTGTTAAAAATGCATGTCTATCCTTGAGCCTTAGACCAGACCTACTGAATCAGGAATGCTGGAGATAAGGCATAGCAATTATGACTTAACAAGCCCTGTAGGTGATTCTGCTAAAAGTTTGAGAATCACTTGTACTAAATATCAAGAACTTGAGTTAACTGATGCATTAAAATGACTTAATTTTTCCCAGACTACACAAATGAAATGCCATTTAATATTGAAATACCATTTTCGCTTTTTTGTAATTGTAAGACTTGAAGCCAATTAACTGAAATGTATTTGTATTTATTTTATGATATAATTTTGTCATCATCTGTGTTAATGGATGAGAACAGAAGTCTGGACATAACAAAAGTACTTTCTATCTGATTTTAGTTACCTTTTCCCCAGTCCCAACAGATTTACTTTGCTAAGTTTATTTCCTTTTTCCTTCCACTGTCAACACAAATTTTAATTTGCCATCCTGTTTTCTTTTCATTTTTATTGAAATATAATTGACATATAGCACTGTAGAAGTTTAAGGTGTACAGCATAATAACTTGATACACATCTATTACATAATGATTCTCATAATAAGTTTAGTTAACATCCATCACCTCAGGAAAAAATTTTTTCTCTTGTGATGAGAACTTTTAGGGTTTATTCTCTTAGCAACTTTCAAATATATGACACAGCACAGTAAACTATACTTATGTTGTAGTTTACAGACGAAGTATATTTCTAATGAGCCATTGTAATACAATTTTATATTATCCCATGTATTTTTATACTTTACCTTTTGTGACCTTTTCAACAACAGTAGGATTGAATAGTTTAACATTTGTCCTTTCCCTATAAAGCCTAGAAATTTGTTTTTTGACTTTGCTAAGAATTTTTTAACCTTATATTTCTTATCTGTAGATTTAAACTTCATGGCCCATCCCCACTCACATCAGAAAAATAGTATTTTTGGTATGATCATAAGGTTTTGAAATCATTTAATTTTTCCTTTTCTTTATAGGTAAAGGATAGCATAATATCAATGGCAAATGGGAGGAAAGTAGGAGAATTCATTACCTTCTTGGTCTTTGTTGCTTCTGTGGCAAGTCCTCCCACTCATTCGCTTTGTAGTTTATTCCCTAAAAAGAATAGTTATATCTGAAATCCTGGAAATCATTGTCCATTTTTAATCCAGAAAAGATTAATAGATATCTCAGTTCTCAGCTGAATTTAACTCGTGTCCTACTCTCTTTCAGAGATATCTTCTTTGGACCAAAGATCTCTTTTGTGATTCCTTGCAACAATCACTGAGAATCTTCATGTATTCCAGAGAACATCATCTTTCATTTCCCACATACTGCACTATATCAACATAACTGCATTTCAAGTTTCTATCCAGTGCAATAAAGCACAGATTCTATACATTCTTCCTTGTCTAAAACAGTAAACTTGAGTTAAATAAGTAGTAATAAAAAGTAATTCAATCTGAATTTTCTCTGTGGAGATTGTTGGTACTGGTTACAAATTTTGGTTAGAGTGGCACCTGGGTGGCTTAGTTGGTTAAGCATCTGACTCTTGATCTCATTTCAGGTCTAGTAATCTCAGGGTTGTAAGTTTGGGCTCTGTGCTGGGTGTGAAGACTACTTTAAAAAAAAAAAAAAACAAAACAAAACAAAACAAAAAAAACAAAGAAAAGGAAAGGAAAGAAAAGAAAAATTTTGCCTAGAAAATTTTCATTTGTGAGGTGTTCAGTAGGCTCAGTAGAAAAATTTTTGAATAGTTGAATAGCCATAACCCTGGCTCAAAGGTGGAGAACTTTTAGTTCTTAGTTGATAATTACTGACCATGTAAACTTAATGGAAAGAATCAGATATAAACTGAAGTTCTTAGAAGGGAATCTAGTTTTCTAGTAAGAGGGTAAAAGGACTGGGGCACCTGGCTGGTTTGGTTGGAGACCAGGGTCCTGAGTTCCAGCCCCATGTTGGGCATAGAGTTTACTTTAAAAACAACAACAACAAAAAGACGAAAGGGGGCCAATATTTAAGTACATATTATTATGTATGCCAAATATTTCAAGTCCATTTTCACTTCACTCTCCCAAAAAACAACAAAACCTTCACGGTAAGTATTCTTAAACCCATTTTTCAGATGCTAACTTAAGATAATTGCTAAAATTCAAGGCAGAATTTGAACAGAGTTCTAGTTCCAAAGCCCATACGCTGCACACTCACACATACAGCTCTATTCTCAAAATTACGATGTTTATCCCTGATGTATCAATTTTTCTTGAGAATAACATATATTAAAAGAAATTTGTAATGGATTAAAGTCACATGAATGTTAAAGGTAAATCTTCAAAGATATTTTCTGATAGAGGCAGCTTCAGACTATGCCCCATATCTCAGGAGGTATGCATTGACTAGTGGCCATCAGTGATAATTTCAGAAAGTCCTTCATTCTATAAAAATGTATTAAATGCTTGCTAAGCACCACCTATTATTTAGATCTGGGGATATAGTAATAAATAAGATGGACCTGTCCTCTTGGAACTTGTATTCTAACAAAGTTTAATAACTACAAAAAAAAATTCTTATTTATAAATGGGAAGCCTGCCAAAGAGGGGAAGTTTAGAGGCTAATACAAAGTATTGTTATGGGGAAAACTTTAGTACCATACCATGCAGTAGACCTATCATTTTGTGAATAAAAGTGACATTATTTAATTGAAATATGTACTTGGAGGTCCCTGATCTGTTTCTGAGGACCACACCCAGAACAGTATCTGTTCTCTATTTAGTATCCAGTAAGTGTTACTGGACTGGACCAAACAATTTTGAAGTAGTCAGAATTCAGTTCCCCTTAAAATCTACACAAAAATAAGTCAGTGTTTTAATGGTATGACCTCTTACAAAAATGGATGAAGAAGTAGAATTGTTTAAAAAAAAAACAACAACAATTCATTAGGGCTTTTTTCACTGAATTAATTGGTATTAAAATCAGACTAAATAATATAAGTGTTAGATCCTTTCTGAAACAGTGCAGAGAATAAGTACATAAGAAAATCATCAGTAAACCTGTTTCATTTTCTACTTGGTATAGACCTTCTCTGAGGGAGGAAAAAAGCGTTAAAGATTCAGTATCTCTATTTATAAATGATACATCAGCGTGAGGGCATCAGTAAGACAACAATGGCTCTTGAAGAAGTGTTTCCTTATTACTGCAAATGAAATGTGGTGAGAAAAATAGTATTTGAAAAAAAGCTAAATATTTAGTGGAATTTTATAGATTATTATGAGTATTCATCATATATTCCCCTTTCTGAAAATAACTTGTAATATGAAATTAAATTACAGTCTTTTAGAAATGAATGCATAACAGAAGCACACATTCTTCTTTATATTACCAAATAAATATAAAAACATGAATGTTCACACAACTTACCTTATGCAGTTTTTCCCAACTAGGTCAATGTATTTTTAAAAGCAAACATTTCATTCAATCACATTAATAAATAGATGCCTTACTTTGTCAATAGCTTTTAGCTACAAGAAAAGACAATAAAGCTTTTATTAAAAATTTACTATTTTTCTTAACACTGTCTTACAAATGAACGAGGTAGGTATGGTCATGATCCCTGTTTTATAGGCAAAGCACCAAGGTTTAGAGAGATTAAATAGTTTGAAGTTACATTATCAGAGAAGTAGTGCCAGGTTCTGAATAGGGCTAGTCTTACTCTAGCATCTAGAATCTTAACCGCTACATTATTTAATAGGATCATCTAATCTATTTCCTTTTTAGGAAAACAAACCTTTACTGATACGGGACACAGGATTGTACACTTCAGCTAGCTCATATAAACGAAATGCCTCCTGATTTAACAATTTCTGTATTTTTTATCTTTGATATTTTATATACTTTTCCATATGAATCTGAGCACAGAGTTGACAGTAATACTCACTAATAGCTCATCTCTTCTTGATAAAATTTCCCCTTTCCTCATCATAATCCATAGGAATGCCTTGAATATTTTTGTTTTCTGGGATTAAGTGCTAATCCTAAAAGATTATTTGAGTATTGGAACCCAGTATTGAGTATGGAGAACCCAAAATGAGCAACAACCACTGGAGGAAGGGAAGGACAAATTAAGAACATTCAACAGATCATCTTGAAATTTTAACTTCCGTATAGGTGCTCACAGGTACACAGGACTTCTTTCCAAAAGAAATCATTTTTGTGGGTCGACTGGGTGGCTCAGTTGGTTAAGTCCCTGACTCTTGATTTCGCTCAGGTCATGATCTCATGGTTTAGTGAGTCTGAGCCCCATATGGGACTCTGCATGCTGACAGCATGGAGCCTGCTTGGGATTCTCCCCCTCTCTCTGCCCCTCCCCCACTCATGTTCTGTCTCTCAAAATAAACAAACTTAAAAAAAATATCATTTCTGCAAAATATGGCAGGTGCTTTTAAAATGTAAATGATCCCGGGGTGCCTGAGTAGCTCAGTTGGTTTAGCGTCCAACTCTGGCTCAGGTCATGATCTCACAATTTGTGAGTTGGAGCCCCATATTGGACTCTGTGCTGACAGCTCAGAGCCTGGATCCTGCTTTGGATTGATTCTGTGTCTCCCCCCCGCCGGCTTGCACATGTACACTCTCTCTCTTAAAAATAAACATTAAAAAATAATAAAATAAAATGGAAACGATCCCATCAGTAAAGCATTACAGGCTTTAAAGTTATTCTCCCAAAAAAGAAAAAATAATCAAATTCATATATTTCTAAATCATTTTGCAGTAAGAGCCTAAGCCCAAACTTTACTCTCAAAGATTTGAAGAGAAATTGATATTAGAAAATTATAGTAAATTGACACTGATTTAGCTTCTCCAATTTACTTCTATAGAATGATACCATGATGGGCTCAACTTTGCAGAGTGGTGTATCTAGAGAGAAATATATGGCATATATGTAGCCCCTATATTCCAAGAATTTTACAAATAAAAACCCATATCAACATTACCCTGATACCAAAGTCAGGCATGGACAATCTGAGGAAACTCCAGACCAATATCCCTTATGAATATAGATGCAAAACTCTTCAAAAAAATATTAAGAAGCCAAACTGAAAAGCACATTAGAAGGATTATTAAATTTTTTTTCAACATTTATTTATTTTTTGGGGGACAGAGAGAGACAGAGCATGAACGGGGGAGGGGCAGAGAGAGAGGGAGACACAGAATCGGAAACAGGCTCCAGGCTCCGAGCCATCAGCCCAGAGCCCGACGCGGGGCTCGAACTCACGGACCGCGAGATCGTGACCTGGCTGAAGTCGGACGCTTAACCGACTGCGCCACCCAGGCGCCCCGTAGAAGGATTATATACCATGACCAAGTAAAATTTATCCCAGGAATGCAAGGGTGGTTCAATATAAGAAAACCATTTGAGGGGCATCTGGGTGGCTCAGTCAGTTGAGTGTCTGACTTTGGCTCAGGTCATGATCTCCTAGTTGGTGAGTTCGAGCCCTGTGTCTGGCCCTAGGCTGATAATGTGAGCCTGCTTGGGATTCTCTCTCTCTCTCTCTCTGCTCCTCCCCCATTCTTTCTCAAAATAAATACATTTAAAAAAATTTTTTTTATTTACTTTTGAGAGAGAGAGACAGAGCGAGAGTAGGGGAGGGACAGAGAGGGAGACATGGAATCTGAAGCAGGCTCTAGGCTCTGAGTTGTTAGCAGAGCCTGACATGGGACTTGAACTCACAAATCTGTGAGATCATGACCTGAGCTGAAGTCAGATGCTTAAGTGACTGAGCCACCCAGGTGCCCAAAATAAATAAATTAAAAAAAAAAGAAAGAAAGAAAGAAAGAAAAACATTTGATGTAATACATCACATTAATAGACTAAAGGGGGGAAAACACATGATCATCTCAATAGTTACAGAAAAAGTATTTTACAAAATTCAACACCATTTCAAGATAAAAATACCCAGAAAACTACATATAGAGAGGAATTTCCTTAAAATGATAAAAAGCATTTATAAAACACTTAGAGATAACATCATAGTCAATGGTAAAAGACTGAAACATCTCCTCCGAAGAAAAGAACAAGGATGCCTGCTTTCACCACTGCTAGTCAACACTGTACTGGAAATCCTAGCTAGAGCATTTTGGCAATAATAATAATAATAATAATAATAATAATAATAATAATAAAATAAATGATATCCAAATTGGAAAAGAAGAAATAAAACTATCTCTGTTCACAGTTAACATGAGTCTGTATATAGAAAACCTCCTAGAATATACACAAATACCACTAGAGGTAATAAATGAAATTCAGCAGTTGTAGTGGTCAACACACAAAAATCAGTTGTGTTTCTTTACACCAGTAATAAACAATACACAAAAAGAAATCAAGAAAATAATTCTATTCACAGTAGCAACAGAAAGAATAAAATATCAGAAATAAATTTAATCAAGATGGTGTAGGGCATGGAAACTGGAAACTATAAACATTGCTGAAAGAAATTTTTAAAAACCAAAATAAATGGAAAGACATCCCATGTTCATGGACTGATACACTTAACATTATTAATACGGCAATCTTAAAGTGATCTAGAGATTTAATACAGCATTCATCAAAATTCAAAAGGCCTTTTGGCAAGAAATGGAAAAACCAATATGGAACTACAAAGGATCTCAGACAGCCTAAATGATATTGAAAAAGGAAAATGGGTAGGAGAACTCACACTTCCTGACTTCAAAACTTACTGCAAGGCTGCAACAGTCAAAAGATTCTAGTACTGGCATAAGAATAGATATATGAACCAATATAATAGAATTGAGAATACACAGATAAACCCAAACATCTATGGCAAATTGATTTTTGACAAGGGTGCCAAAACCATTCAGTGAAAAATAGTCTTCAATAAATGGTGCTGAGACAAATGGATAACCACATTCAAAACAATTAAGTTGAACCTCTACCTCACTCCATGTACAAAAATTGACTCAAAACAGGCCAATGACCTGAATTTAAGTCCTGAAGTTATAAGCTTCATAACCTCAGATTTGGCAATGAATTCTTAGATCTGATACCAAAAGAGTAACAAAAGAAAAAATAAATTAGACTACATAAAAACTAAAACCTTTTGTGCATCAAAGAACATTATCAAGAATATGAAAAGGCAATCCACAGAATGGGAGAAAATATTTGCAACTTGTATATCAAATATGGACTTAATATCCATATACAGAAAAACTCCTGCAACAAGAAGACAATCAATCCAATTAAAAAAAATAAGCAAAGGATTTAAATAGATATTCTCTAAAGAAGATAATACAAGTGGACAACATGCATGTGAAAAGATATTCAGTATCAATGGTCATTAAGGAAATGCAAATCAAAACTACAATGAGATACCATTTAACACCCAGTAGGATGAATTTAATTAAAAAAATAAAATAGGAAATACACTATTGGCAATTTGGAGACATAGAAACTCTTGTACATTGCTGTGGGAATGTAAAAGGGTATAGCTACTATGGAAATCTGGAGGCTCCTCAAAAAGTTAAATCTAGAATTACCATATGATTCAACAATTCTACTCCTAGGTATATACCTAAAAGAAATGAAAACATGTTCAAAAAGAAACATGTACAGAAATGTTCATCGCAGCATTATTAATAGCCAAAGGTAGAAACCCAAATGTACATCTACGGATGAATAAACAAATTGTGATACACATACACACAAACACATCACATACCACACAATTGAATATTATTCAGCTATTAAAAGGAACCAAGTACTGATGAATATACCGTAACTTGGACGAACCTTGAACATACATGCTATGTGAAAAAACCCAAAAGGACATATATGAATCCCTTTATAGGATATATTCATAATGGGCAAATTCATAGAGCCAGAAAGCAGATTAGAGGTTAGCAGGGGATGAAGAGGAGGAAATGGAAGTGATTGATTACTTATGAGTGTTTTTATGGGGTGATGAAAAATTTTGAAATTAGAACTGGTGGTTATACAACATTGTGAATACACTAAATACCACCAAATTATATAGTTTAAAATGGAATACTACCATATAAATTTTACCTCAATTAAAAAAAAAAACAAAACTTCACGTAGAAATAATATATAGAGCTTGTTTTTGTAAAGAAATATATTTCAGGTACTAATTTTTAGCCTTTTCCTAAATTGCTCAATAGACGATAGTTCTACCAAATAACTGACTTATTTCTTGAATACCTGCTACTCATTATGTTTTTTTCCTTTTATCCCAATTTTGGATTCTTCTGATGCTCTAACATTAGAAGTAACCTATGCCCTTACAGAGATATGCGATTTTTTTTTTTTTGGTTCAGATATAAACACAGAAAAAGATTTCTAGTGAATTAAATTTTAAAACCTAATAGCAAATAATTACAAATTTTATATAAAACTGCAGAATCTTGAGTTCCTCAGCTTTGATGAAGTTCTCAATTTTCATGCTTTAAATTGCTCTCACAAGGATTTAATTTCACTGGATAACTAACATCCAGAACTCTTTTCACTTTTTATCCAACTACATTTTATGCAAATAATTAACTATATGAAATTAACACTGCTAGTCAAATGTTACATCATAAACAGATAATTTAATGTAAGCAAATTATTTCAACCTTCTTTCACAAGAACGGAGTGTTTTTATAGGAAAAAGTAACTCTACAGTCAAGTTTTATTAAAAAATTAACTTTTGGGGCACCTGGGTGTCTCAGTCAGTTAAGTGTCTGACTTTGGCTCAGGTCATGATTTCACGGTTCGTGGGTTCAAACCCTGCATCAGGCTCTGTGCTGACAGGTTGGAGCCTAGAGCCTGTTTCAGATTCTGTCTCTCTCTCTGCCCCTCCCCCACTCATGCTCGGTCTCTCTCAAAAATAAACATTAAAAAAATTAGCTTTTTATACATTATAGATTTAGATAAAAATATGTGGAAGTTATTACTTTCTTCAAATAAACCATCCTCTTCTAGTTATGTGGTTCACTTTCGGATAGCTAAAACTTCTCACAAAGATTTCTGGAATGCCAGAAATGACAGGATTCTGTTAATACCAATTATCACAGTCTCTGCCCATTAATAATGTACAGTTGACCCTTGAACAACATGGATTTGAACTGTGCAAGTCCACATATATGCAGATTCTTTACAGCACAGTACTGAAAACGTATTTTTTCTTCCTTATGGTTTTAATAACATTTTCTTTCCTCTAGCTTACTTTATTATAAGCATACAGTATATAATATATGTAACATACAGAATATATGTTAATTAACTGTTTATATTATTAAAGAGGCTCCCAGCCAACAGTAGGCTATTAGTAGTTAAATTTGGGGAAAGTCCCAAGTTGTATACGGATTTTCAACCATGCAGTCAGTGGTTGCCACCCCAGTCCCTGCATTGTTAAAGGGTCAACTGTAAATCTTTAAATAGTTACAGCAAGAACAAAGAATAGTTGCTTTATTTTTCACCATATTTTGTAGCTGCCAATACATTCCGTACATTTAAAAATACATGGACGAAGCTTCTAATAAACCAGTACTTTAGATTCAGCTACATCAGTGGTTCTTCACTATGGGTAATTTTGCTTCCTAGGGCATGTTTGGCAACATTTAGGGATAGCTTTGGTTGTCACACCTTTGGAGTGCCACTGGCACTAGTGTGGCCTGCATGATGCTGCTAAAACTGTAACACATAGGACATCTCCCACAATAAAGAATAAAGGCCCAAATGTCAACCTTGAGAAACCTTGAGCTACATTAATGTTCTGATCCGTTTGTTACCAGCCTAAAATCTGCACCATAATCAAGGACATTAACTGAAGCTATTGTTTTGTTTTGGTGTCATAAACTATAAATTTGATTTGTAATTATAAGAATTTTAACAGAAAATGGGCTGAGAATGTAAAAGAAAATAGGATATAAATTAAGTCAGAGCTACATATGGACCAGACTTTAAAGATCTTGTTTGATTTCTAGATCTCTCCAACTTATGAGTTTTAATTTGCAATGTAAACAATATAGGGCATGAATGAAAATTAATGGGCACTGCAGAACTTCTATGTTCATTCCATATAAACATCTTTTCTCTAAGACAAAATTTAAAGAAACAAAATTAATTCTATGTTATTTCAACTTTCAGCATTGTGTTAATCTTTTCTGACACATTAAGTCTTCTTTGGAAGGAGGTAGGTATATAAATTAAACTGTTCTTCCTAATACTCTATCAAGTAGTAATAGTAATAATAATAACAATAATGGAAATAAGAAAGAAGTTGCACCTCAATGGAAGTCTATTTTTCAAACCTGTTAACACTAAAAAGCACTTTAAAAAATAATGCTAATTAGGATATCCTTGATTCCAAATCAGATCATCCCAGAGAAAGCAAATGTACTACATTTGTTATTTCTCCTTAACCTTAAAAAAAAAAGTGGTAACAAAATGATCCTTACATTAAACTCTCAATTAAAAGTAGTACCTAATCAGTTTAATATAAAAATCAAGTTTCACAAAATGAATACACTGAAGCAACTATAATAGTAATCACCTTTATTTAAAATATTTTTTAATCTAGGAAAGCTCATTTTACATGAGTTTCCAACTAATTATTAGAGTCAGAAACAAAGAAAATAAAACCAGAGAAAATCCTCTGTAAAAAAATACACAAGGAACATTTCTACATGTGAAAAAACAGTAAACAGTCTTAACATCTGAACATCCAAGTCTTAGTCTCAATTCCATCTCTCCTAGTGAACACCACTATCAACCTTGAGATCTGATTTGTTCTTGTCATTCTTCACTGAGTAGATGAAATATGTTAAGGTGTCTTTTTCATTCACTGGAATAGACCTAAAGTGGCAACCAACTATCTATAAAAAAAAAAAAAAAATTGAAATTAAATTATAGATATTAACAGATTTCATACTAGGTAAAAAAAAAAAAAAAACACATTAATTAAAAGAAAATGTGCTATGTGATAAGAGCTATCTCTTTTTAAAAATAAACTGTTTAACAAAATACCAGCAAGATGAAAAGCACATCAGAATAAGATGTTATGAGCAAGAGATAGTGTGATTTCAAAGGACCCTCCAACCCACTCAATTAAAGATACATTAATTTAGGATGTATTTAAATTTTATAATTAGAATCTACATTAGTAAGTAAATATTTTTAAACTTTAGGTACCAATGAAATAAACAGAATGTAGATCCTACTCACAGAAAAAGGATAAATATATAGTTGAAAAAGTTTTGGTACTGGCAGTACTCTTTAAAGTTCCTTGAAAGTTTTTCTGAATAAGTATTATTGATGGAAAATGAGAGGGGAAAGAGGAACTTTCACTGAAGAATATTTATCTGCCCTCTGGCCTTTTCATTATGCTAATCTAACATGTGCACTGCAACTACCAATAGAAGTACAATAGATTAAACTAGGGTGTTGATATGCTTATCTAGATTGTAGAAAATAAAACTTCTTAATGAAAAAGTTATTCATATGATAAGATTTAAGGAGGACAGTCATCTGACTCTGGGATCACTTACCACTTATCTGCATTTCTGACTAAGTAAACTATAACACTCATGGCTGTTTGGATTGTTTCTCATTTCTAAAGAAGAAAATGGCTCTGGAAATAATATAACTTTTTAAAGATCAGATTACCAAATATTTGAGTTGTGACTTAGACATTAAAAAAAAAAAAAAAATACAGCTGACCCTTGTATAACACAGGTTTGAGCTGCAAGGGTCCATTTACATGCTTTTTTCCCCCAATAAATACAGTACCGTATTATAAATATACTTTCTCTTCCACATGATTTTAATAACATTTTCTTTTCTTTAGCTTACTTTATTCTAACACAATAAGAATATATATAATACATAAGACATACAGAATATGATAATTGGACAGTTTATGTTTTCAGGAAGGGTTCCAGTCAACAGTAGGCTACTAGTAGCTAAGTTTTTGGACAATCAAAAGTTATATGCAGATTTCTAACTGTGCCCCCAAGCCCTGAGTCATTTAAGGGTCAACCATACATTAAATGTAACATATAAAATAATTAGTTCTCTGGTTCTCATTTGTCTCAAAACAAAAGTAACTTCCACTTGATCAGTATCAGTATATATGGATACAGTTTCATCACAATAGATAATATCTGTGTTTCTGTTGTATCAAATTTAAAGGAAAACTGAATTTTTGTGGCAAGATGGAAAGAGGAAATTCTGGCTAAAAAGTCAATATATTAGATCTCAACAATGTTAAAAAGCATTCTGCCAAAGAATTATACTTTCCGTATCTTTTACCTTTTTCCATGTGCATGTTTTAGAAAACGTTGCCTTACTAAACCCCCAAGCTAAAAAATATGATAAAACTGATTTATATGTTTACATTTCTATTCTGTCTAGTAGACTAAGCATTTTTATGTAAAATGATTAAAGTATAAATATATAAATCTATGGACACCTTAATTGGATTCACAGATTTCTTGGTTCCATTAATTCCTGAGAACACACACATTTCAAAATTTACCAAAGGACTAGAAGTTAGTTCTATAACAAAGCAAAAACTATGTAAAATGTTGGACAAGAGTCTTTGCATCTTCTAGATGTGACGAAAGCATAGACACCTCAAATAAAGCAAACATCAATAAGGCCAAATTCTGAAATAGTTAAGTCAACAAGTTAAATCAACAAATAGGAATACTATTTATGGGTTTATCTGTAGATCTAATCCATCAGAAACTTCAAAAAATAAATTCTAATGATGACATCAAAGCTTATCAATTTCTTTTATTATGCCTCAATTAGGTGTTCAATAAATGTTTACTAAGTAGAATTTTAAAACCAACAGATTTCTAGAATGAGAATTTAAAAATTATCACCCAATATTTCTGAGAGGCAGTATTAGAAGATGCTTAGAAAACTATATACAATCCAGTAAGCAGTTGTAACATACAGAAATTTAAGAGGCAGACAGACATTTCTAAGAAACTAGATTCTTCCACAATAGATCTTTTATTAACTGATCCAACTAAAATGCATTGGTATATATTCTACATTAACAATTTCATTAGCCTTTAATGCCTCTTTTTTGTATGAACAGGCTCATTTAAAGTGTAAATAGTTTAAAACTCATAAATACCTCAACAAGTTGTGCTTTATTAAGTCCTGGTCTGGTTGATAGTTTGAAGTGTCTTTTGTATCTCCGAAGTGTATTTACTTGTAATTGATATAAATCAACCTAGGAAAATTAAACATATATGAATTAGTTCATACAATTTTCAAAATAGTTATCTTTGATACATACAAAAACATTTCAGTTTTGGCACAATAAAAATGTAATTCCATTATTAAACAACAAAAATTACATTACTTAAGTCCATTCCATTATCCCTTTTATATAATCAAAACTATAAATGTATTAAACACTTTAATCTTCTGAAGATAAATATTGAAAACTGGGAGCAAAAAGAAGTTAGAAGGCAACAGAGCTATAAGCATTGTCAACTGAAAACACAAGTAAAATTGTGTAACTGCTTGTTAACTGGCTATATTTAATTTTACTTTCATTTTCAGATTTTTTGCTTTAAGTATTTTTAAAAGGCGTTCATATCTTTTAATACAAGTTACAGAATGGAATACTTAGGATTTACATTCAACATACAGAAACTTTATCTACCTCTGGAGTATCAATATCTTGAACAGGTGAATCTCCTCCATCATCATCACTCCCTTTCCTCTTTCTTCTGTTTCGAACACTCTGAATTAAGTTTTTATGATAATCACAAATGTAAAGATGCCTTGCCTGAAACAAAAGTTTCACAGACTATTTATGATTATGTAACCTATGTATTAGTAAAATACACTGGGCACAGTGAATTATTAAAAATAAAAACAGTCAAAACAGGCCACTGTTAAGACAACAGCATGTTTCTATGCTTAAGTCCTGCATCCAGTTAAAACATACCATGTCCAGCAGTACAGTTAAGAAGATTGGGGGGTGGGGTGGGTGGGGAGTGGTGTAAGTAGAGGAGAGAAGGGAGACAGAGAAGCAGAATGAGAAATTTCAACTCTCTGGATTTTGTCATTAAATTGCAGGGAGGCTGAACTAGATTTACTAGGTCATGCTGCTTTTTTATCAAGGGGAAAGATGACGTTGCCCACAAATTGCTATTTCATAGTATTTACTCAAAGAGTGTATTTTAATAGCATGATGTATGCTTTCGATTCTTTCTCAACACCCAAATTATCATATAGATACAAAACTATCCATTTTTACAAATGAGCTATTGATTTCATATCCTACTTACATTTAAAGTTGAATTATAAACTTGAATATTTAATGAATGCATTTATCTGTAGTATGTTTTCCCAACCAAAGGAATGTGAAATTCAAGTTTACTTGAAAAGTTGCTCATGAGCATGACCAAGAACTACCTGTTTAACAGGCAGAAAGTATCACAAATAAACTTTGCAAAAGCTTCAATTAAATGTAGTCTTGAGAGCTGCATGGTAACACGTGAAATATTGAGCTTCATATACTAAGTTAAACTCCTTTAAAAAACCAAATCATTAAGGCCTAAAGCTTTTAAATTAACTTTTAAACTAAGTCCAAGTTAAAAATATGCAGAATGTGTACTAGATTCTGGCATCTTGTGATTCTTTTACTGCCAGCCAGAACTCCTAAAAGTGGCGACGCTTGTTTCTAAAAACCTTAGAGGGTCAAAAGCAACAACCACCACCACCACCACCAGATGTGCGAAGAAAGGACGGAAAAAAAAATCCCGATGGCTGCCAAACGGATGGCAAAACAGCAGAGACTACGTGTTCCCCACGTTCCCAGCAGCTGCGCTAGATGCTGACATCGTTCACAATCCCCGCTCCCTGCAAGGCGCGGGGTGAGCTCAGCTTCCCTCACACGGTACTTGCACGAACGGGGAAAGGGGTCTTTCTTGCTGAGGTTATCAGGTCCTCGGTCGTGGCAGGACTCCACTTTCCCTACACAAGGGGAGCTGCTCCCTGGGGTCAAACGCCAGCGAGGGCAGCAAAACAAAGAAGGCGCCTCCATTCCAGAAGGAGCCTGCC